GTCTAACTGTGGATCATGAACGGCAACGCCTGACCCGCAGAAGAGCGGGCGCTTCCACGTTTGGGCTGCTCTCTAGTAACCATCGCCTGTCTTGGTCTTCTTTTCTTCTTTGTTCTTCGGGAAATGACTCTGCGCAAACTTGTATAATCTCTTTCTCTATAATGTAGAAACAAAAATGCTTCAGTAACGAGCGCTAATCGCTTTCACTTTTTATCGCGTCCCAGGCAGCTCCGATTGCGAAGTCTAGGTGATGAAAGCTAATACTGACCTCGTCTTCCTGAGAAAAATTATGCTTGGGTGACACTCAGGGCGACATAAAAAGGAAAAAAGGAAGGAAAGAAGAGCAAAAGTTTAACTCCTTCTTAAATAGTTTTCGATATTACTAGAGCGTTATGCCCACGGAGATACTTTCCTTTTTTGTCTCTTTTAGCAGACACCCTGACAAGAAAATGAGCCTTAATAATAACGGCGTCAATTACACGCGATATCATGCTTCCGGTAATTAACTTATTCGGTGCTTCTTCACTTGAAAAAACAAAAAAGAAACAAAAACGATTGACAGCAAATATGTGTATGCTTGCTTTTTTTTTCTTCACTCTTTTTTTCGCTACCATATCACTGTTCCTGTCGTCTGCCTTCTTGTCTGAGTATGTTCTTTGTGGCACTGTGTTATTTGCCAGGGTGCGAAAATGCACATTTTATATCAGCAGAACGACTTTTGTAGAGACCAGTGATTAGTTTCGGTTCAGTGTTCTAAAAAATATCTGGTGAAGAATATTTTTCTGAATTAAATTAATGGACAGCAACTTGAACGTGTTCTCCCGCGCATGTCGGGGTCGGACACCTGGCTTGATTTCCCGCATAGGAACCGGACCTCCATGTACCGCAATAGGAAAAAAAAGTGACTGGTGCTCGTTGATGAAAAATTTTCTCTGGAAGATTAGCGACAAAAAACGTTTCCAATGGCACAAAGTCTTATTCAAAAGAACTCGAAAGAGCAGAAGTCAGGGGATGGTTACATGTTCGTATGCACGAGTGTTGAAGTGTCCAAGCTCTTGTGCAGGGCAGATATTTTGTAAGAAACTTAGCTTATAGTGTCTGACATCATTATAGTCCACTCAATGATTTTAATATGTTTTTGACGACTATGTTGAGTTCTTGAAGTTTTCATTTTTAAAGTCGTCAATGCTGATACACGTGGGACAAAAGCAGCGTTGTGAAGCATATATTGCCGGAGGGTGGGAGGCAGGGGATATTTTCAAAAACGCTGGAGATACTCTTCTTGCCCTGAAAAGAGAGGAATATAGGGGGCATCGAGCGCATCGAACAAGTGCGAATATCACTGGTGTTTCTACAGAGGTTGTTTGAACGTGCGCTTGCAAGAGCTATGGTCTTTGAAATCACCGTTGTGGAGTAACGCTGAAATAAATCACTGTTTGCAAACTGAGATTTCCCCTGCTGTAGCTGAAAACGAACGAAATGGCTGTGCTTGCTCTCGCGTGAATATTAGAGTGTCTTGTCTGTCCTAACCACATGCCTGGCTTGCCACCTGCGTTCGCCCACCATCGGCAGTGGCGTAACCAAACCGTGCCTAAAGGGAATCCTTAAGTGAAGATTATCTACGCTCTAAGCGAGGCTTCCAGAATAATAAAATATGATCTATATGAATGGGTCATTTGACGAATCATTGATGTTGCTTGCGAAAGAAATATAGAAGCCCACCCTCCATTTTTACCCCCTATCATGCCCTCTTTTCAGGACAAGAAGAGCATCTCCAGCGTTTTAAAAATATCCCCTGCCTGCCACCCTCCGTCTCTCTATGCTTCACAGCGCTGCTTTTGTCGCACGTGTATCATCATTCATGTCTGCACAAAAGGGACCTCCGACAGCATTCAAGCTTTCATTTCTTACTCGCGGTTTACGCACACGGATGGACAAAAAGATAATGAAGGAAGAATGGCAGCGTATAGGCACACGCTGTCCAAAGTTTTTTCAGGCTAAAAAATAAAAAAAATAGAAGAAATTAAATGCCTGTTCTCAACTCAATTTTCTTGGAGTCCCACCACCTCATTTCACACTCCCGTCACGATGAAACGCGACGCCAATCGAATCAGCTTAAAGTTCCAACGTAACCGAATCTTGCAAGCTGTTGTTGCTTGTCCTGGCCAACGTATTGTTGACGTCATTGAAATAGTAACAAATAACGTGGTTTCTGACGCCTGACTTGTCGAAATGTGAGCTGGCGCTACTGTGTCGAAGTGGAGGCTCTGTACGCCGTTACATACAACGAAATCCAATGTCACTCCCTGCTTGAATTTCAGACAAAGGGATTTGTGGAACGAAAATTGCAGTGAAGCGTTTTTGGCTCTATATATAGCATCACCGCGTGACTGTGTAGAGTTGTCTCGTCTTCGGTAAGTCTCTGAAAGGCGTACGAGGCGGCAGTGACATTAAAGAAACGAAGTGGATTGCTCACATCACTTCAGAAGCAGTATAGAACGTACCGCACGTGCGGAAAGAGGCAGCTGGCAAACAAACAGAAGAAAGAAGGGTCACTAGATTCTATAGATGAGTTTTCGTATGAATATCTCATTCGTCCAAGAAAAATTCCACATGCACAATTGCTGTAAGCATTTGTTGCCTACTTGCCTCTGTTGGACAATGATCTCTTTTTTTTTTTTGCGAAGGTGCCTATTTAGATTTCAATAAAAAAGTACAGAAAAGGAAAACGATAACAACCACTGATCCCAGCTTCAATGTCGCGCAACGCTCACTTCTAACGTAGCATTTATCCAGCCATATTATGGTTATGCGGTTATCCGTCAGTTTCGCCCACAATAATTCTGCACTACGTGTTGTTGTAGTCGGCCGCGATGTAGGGACATTATTACGTGACTAAAGTACTTAATCATTTAACATCGGCGCTTGGACGTATGTCAAAGTTATCTCATCAGTGTACGCACAATACGAAAAATAGATACTTCAAAAGGGTAACAGGGCCTCTTTAACCTCTCTACTATCGGATGAAGGCATAGACAAAAAAAAAAAGATGAAGCCTGCAAAATTTTATTTCGCGTTGTTTTAAAGTAGAAAAAAGAAAAAAAAACACTGCGGCAAAAATTTAATTTTCAAAGGGTAAAAAATGGGTGTCTACAGACGGGAAAACTACTCGCATATGTGACAGAACACCGACGATGATTGCGCATTTTGGCTTCCAGGCTTCAAATATGTTTGAATATTTACCATAGATCAATAGCATCACTTCCGTTGACCCTACTTTGGAAGCCAAAAACTATATTACAAAACATTTATGTTGGCGCCATGTGTACTTTCTGGCTGCTTTTAACTTCTTCCATGGTGCATTGAGTAGGAACTTTTGAATAATATTTTCACTCGGAGCAGACTACTTCCAGGCTTCTCTATCGTATCAGCCTGTGCGTGCGCGCGTCTTCCCGTACCAGCAGGCTGGCGCGCATCGAGGCACCTCAACGCAACGCGCAGCACGCCGGTAAATAAGAATTGGCGCAGTTACATGCACGCCGGTAAACGCGCAAATGTATTGTGTGCTGCTCATGATGCCGGCCATCCCTGCTGACGCTATGCGCAAGTTGCTAAATCTGATGCGAAGCGCTTCTTCTCGGGTCAACTCGACCAAAAAAAAAAAAAGAAACAGAGATCCGCCACAAAATGAAGCTAAACTGTTAATCTTAACCAGATTTGAAGCTGTACTAGCGTTGTACAGGGTGTTTCAAGAAATGTGCTGAATATTTAAAAAGTATTTATAATTACTGAAAGGGGGCATCTGAGTGCTACCATGTGGCGTTTCCTTACCTCTAGAAGAAAGAATTTTCAGATGCACACAAACATTATAATTTGGCCTAATGAGTCATGTACACGAAGGTGGATGCAGGTAAATAAGATGCTATAAAGCCGGCTGTAAAGGAAGAAGTTTGTATGACTCGCTTTGCAGAGAGAGAGAAACAACGTTCAATAAAAAAAGTGGTTCATCTCAGGTGGGGCCCTTCTTCTAAGGCTCCACTGGCTATAGCGGGTCGGCGGGCCTCACCAAGGGTTGCTAGTTGGCTTCCCAGGGTCCGTTTCGCGCCTCCCACGACCACGTATGTATTGGGTGCGTATGTCCTATGTCGACTGTGACAGGTCGCCCTGGACAGCTGTAGGTAATATGTGTTGGTGTAGGAGTATCTTCCGCACCACGGGCATGCGCTGGGATATATTGCCGGGTAAATCAAGTGAAGCTTATGCAGATTTGGGAATGTCTGCAGGCGGCGCCAGTCACAGCTTGATGTCTATTGAGATCCACGCAAAAACATTCAGATGATTATTTGCACATTTTTAACAGCCTGGCCGTCATTTCTCGCCTCGCGTTCGCTATCACGAGGTCTCATATTTGATAGCAGGCCCCATGTGAATCGCCAGCGTCACCGACGGGCTAATCCGTCTCTCCGAGCCAGCAAACAGGCTAGCATTGGGAGGGGCGTAGCCAGGGAGTATCACACCGGCCCGTGCTCTCCAGCTTTTTTTTTGCCATGGCATAGCAAGCAGCAAACGACACTCAACTACATTTTCCAGCCCAGCCCCCAATTTAAAATAAAAAAGTGCCTCTGCCCCCCCCCCCTTCCTGCTCCCCCGAAAAAACATTTTGCGCACACTCTAGAAACAGATCTACGAAAGGTCGAAGTGGAGTAGAAACGCCAGCGTCCCGAATCACCACACTCACCACACTCCGAACAGAAAACAGTAGAAAAAGACTGGAGAAAGAAGTCCATGAAACAGAAAATAGATAGTCAGAAGAAAAAAGCAGAAAATGATTGAAAAAAGTGTCACATAATAAAATGAAGACAAAAAATCAGATAAACACAAAGAAAATATCAGTGAACCAATGCTCCACAATAAGTAGAGCTTTCACTTGTGGTGAAACCAGCTTTGATTTCTTTTTTTTTGGGGGGGGGATGGGGGGTGGCACCATCATTCTCGCTTACCTGCGGTACGCTGCACACGAGGCTGGCGTACCAGGCCACGCCGAGCATGATCTTTCCCCGTCGGTGCGCGTCGTGCACCTTGAGTGGGTGCAGCACGGCGAAGTATCGGTCCACGCTGATACACACCAGAACGGCCGAAGAAAGGTACGGTCCGAAGGCACGCATCATCTGCATCAGCTTGCACATCAAGTCACCAGCCACCCACTGACCCGTGATGCGCCAAATCACCTCAACCGGTATCATCACGAACGTCACGATCATATCGGCGATGGCCAGGTGCATGATCATGAGTTTGATGCGGGACTTGCGGTGACGATTGCGAAGCAGCGTGACAAACACGGGCACGTTTCCTCCGGCAGCAACGATGAACAGGATGCAATAGACGATCACTTGCACCAGAGACAGGGTGCTGAACGAGAGTTCCTCGAGAACTTGAGCGTCTTCCATGGTGGCAGTAAAGGAAGTGTTGCCGCTGTTGTGGGCACTCGCGAATTCCTCGTTGCTTGATGTGACACCATCCAGTGTGTGATTTATTTCTGTGCGACTGGACCACATGGCTTATATGTAACGCCACCGAACTTGCCTGTGCTCGATGTTTAGGTAGAATCAGCGAGTGATCTCGTTTCCACGTGAAGATCAGTCAATAACACAGCAGAAATGTTTGCTCTCTGGGTAAGCATATTAAATAGCAGAACGGAGCTAACTTGGCTTCTCAGCAGTCCTTCCACATTTGGACATCAGAGACTGTCCCACTGGCATATTTCCGGCAGAGCTTTTGTATCACTGGAGCAAGCTATCAATAGACCAAGATTTCCGGCACTACGAAAGTGCGCTTACCCTAGCAGCCCAACTAACTTCTTTCTTTTAAAGAGACGGCACTGCGCTTTCAGAATTCCTACGCCTAAACTTTATAGTTCACGGGAGAAGTTCTGAAGTTCCTTCGATGATATTATCGAGTGACGGTGGGAGAGAGCAGTGCCGTAGCTCACTGAGAAGGTTATGCTGTAGTTGCTCACCGGTTGGTGTCCGAAACTCGACTGGCAAAGAGGTGTGCGGTGGTGAGTCCCGTCGCTGTAGCGGCCGCTTCCACTTTCCCGCGTATCGATCGGGATACGCGCGCCCCCACCACACCGAGCCAATGGCGATGAGTCGCAATGATCGCGCTTTTATTACACTTTTCCGCCACCGAGAAAGTGCCGTGCGCGCTTGTTGACGGAGCTGTATACCGCCGGTAAGCGTCAAATAAGAGAGTGCGTTCATCCGAGGTGCCAGAAAATGTCTCCACTTTCAACCTGCGGGAAGGCCGTGTGAACTGCGCAGCATTGATTCGCCTCTGTTCCCCTCAAGTTTCTGCTCCGCTCTATTATGTTCTTTTGTGTTCCTTTTTTGTGTTTATTATTTTGTTCCTGTACTTTTCGTGTTACTACAGCGTCTATAAAAACATTCCAAAATTTTCGTCTTAAATATATTTTATCAAATATCAGCTTGCCATCTCCTTCACAACTTTCTAATGTAGTTTCCCTCTTGTTTAATGCACTGTTGCAAACTCTTTGCCCAACTTCGGCTGAACGCGCCAGGGAAGTCTTCAACAAGAAGTTCCATGAGAGAGGTCATCGAAGATGTTTTTACCGCCTTCAGCGTCCCTTGCAGAGTTCTTTTCAGGGTTCCTTTAATAATTGGGAGAAAAAAAAAGTGTAGTGGTGCCAAATCGAGGCCGTGCAGCCGCTGAAGCAGTGCCGCTACACTCCTTTTGTCCTGCAGCTCGGACACTTCCAGCGCGGAGGGACACTTCCTTTATAACACTCATCAGGACTATTGGCACCATGTTTGCAGACTTTTCTCATTTTGATATCCTTTGTCGAAACCCGATGAACCACTGCTTTTGGTATTCCACACCACTTCGCGATCGTGTCAATATGGCGGGATGTGATGACTTCATGATGTAACGTTACGGTGTGCGTCGTCATAATGACGCTAAAACTCTGGTCATCTGTGGCGATCGTCACCACTATTTTGGCGTCGATGAAGCCATGTGGCGACGTCACCGCATGACGATTTCCGGCATCGTTCACGCTGACGCCCCCGACACAACGGTCAATTTTAGTGTTTGATGAGGCAGGTAAGGCTTTCGCCTTAATAAGAAGGGCGTCGCGTGGCTCCAGGTGCCCATACAGGGGAAAATTTTGCTGCGCTCGTGCAATATCTTACGACAGAGCCCGATGATGGCACTGAACCCAGTAATTTGCACATAATGCCAGCTGTCTAGAAGATGTAAGCTGTGCTTGTTTGTCTCTTCTCTTGTGTCCCGTTGGTTTGGGCTTCCAAATATTCCACTATGGATGTAAGTAGTGCCGATATTAGTCCAGTCATTAGATTGGATAAACTTTTATTTGGTCATCCAAAACACAGATCACTGTGTCGCGGGCCGCTCCCACGTGGGAACTGAGATGCCGAGTTCCTCAGCCGCCTCGCTGGCTTGCGCGGTTGTGCTTGGAGATGAAAATTACGAACGCGAGTTAGGAGCTCGGTGCTGTTCCTGAAAACCAGAATTTGGCGGAATGGGGTCGTCATATTGCCGGCTTCCTCGCCCCCGCGACGCAGAGAGGCCGCCATGTCGGCCGCCACGGAAGGACTGTGCAGGCGGGTGTCCATGTTGGACTGGGAGCAGTGTTTCAACAACTCAGAGGTGATCAGCTGATCACTATCGCTTTTGCATCTCGTACATTGACCCCTGCTGAACGCAGATATTCAGTAGGAGAGCGTGAAGCTCTCGGGTGTCTTTTTGTCTGTGAGAAATGGCATGTTTACTTGTGGGGCCGGCACCTCACATTACGTACAGATCACCAAGCACTAGTTGCTCTTCTTTCTGCAGGATCCAAAGGCCGCCGCCCCATTCGCATTTCCCATTGGTGTGCCAAACTCATGTATTATAATTTCAGTGTTCAATATTGTAAAGGTTCTAATAACGTGGTTGCTGATGCACTGTCGCTCCTTCCTCTTCAGATACCGGTTACTGAAGAGCGGGGTGAGCAAGTTGTTTCATTGTTACTTCCTGCATTACTAAAGCTGAGCTTCAGGCAGCTGCAGCTGCAGATTCCACTTTGTCTCAAGTTCTCAAATATTTACGTGAAGAATGGTCCTCCAAATGTGCTCTTGCTTCTGAATTCTTGCCTTACTTCGCAGTCCGACAGGAACTGTCCTGTGTCGAGGACTTGCTTTTCCGTGACGAACGCGTGATTCCCCCTGCTTCTTTCCGTAACAAGCTAATACAGCTTGCCCATGAGGCCCATCCAGGCATTGTCCGCACCAAACAGAATCTCCGAGGCAGGTACTGGTGGCCAGCCTTAGACAAGCAGGTCGAGCATGCAGTTTACAACTGCTATATATGTCAGGCAGCTGACAAGTCTGCCAAACCTGAATTTTTCCCGTTGCAGCCAGTCCAGTGGCCTGATCGGCCTTGGCAGAAACTCGCATGGACATCATCGACCCTTTGCATAATGTTCCGCAAAATGCCCGGTTCATTGTTTCTCTCATCGACTACCATTCCAAATGGCCAGAGCTTTGTTTCACACATACGATTACTTCTGAGGTCATCATTGAGTTTCTGTCTTCAATCTTCAGCCGGGAAGGTTTTCCTGATGCCATAGTTACAGACAATGGTCCACAGTTTCAGTCCCAACATTTCGAGGCTTTTCTTTCACAACGAGGAATTCAGCACTTGAGGTCATCAGTTTTCTATCCCCAATCAAATGGGCAAATCGAGCGCTTCAATCGCGTTCTGAAGGAACATATCCAGATGGCCCAATTAGAGCACCATCCCCTCAAGCAAATCTTGACTGAATGTTTAGCTTCGTACAGGTTCACACCACAAGGCACCACTGGAGTGTCTCCTGCTCAACTTCTTTACGGTAGGCAACCGCGAGTTGCTCTCGACATAGTCTCTTTGCCTCGTAACATGGCAGTGTCTTCTCCTGATCAAATCCGTACCAGGGTTTTTTCTCATCAACAAGCAATGAAAAAGTATGTCGACACCCGTCGAGGTGCAAAGCAGTCCAAAGTTCGCCCTGGCGATCTAGTCAAGGTTCGTGTGCCAGGCAAGCGCCCCATGTATCGGGGTCCTTACAAAGTCTTGGGCCAGGTTAGCCCCACTTCTTTTCGCTTAAGTGATGGTAACGTCTGGAATGCTTCGCGCCTTGTTATTTTTCATACGGATTCGCCGTCAACACCTAAAAGTCTTCCCCATCACGTTCCGTCTACGCCTTTCAACTATGCATCAAACTATTACATGCGGCCTCCATGTACAGGCATTTCTTCTTCAAGGGGGGAGGAGTTGCCAGTCGGTGTCGCTGGTTCAATTACACCAAGTCATACGGATCACCTCGAACCTTCAAATACTGCTGAGACCGTTGAACCGGACTCCGGTCCACAAAGTTCTTTCGAAGCTCATGCTGTGAGCTCTGATGAGACCACGAATTTTAACGCTCGTTCAGAGCCTTCACAATCTTCTACTGCTCTTGATGTGTCACATCAGAGCACAAGTGACCAAGGTGCAGAGACACCTGATTCTACAGCCAAAAGGGCCTGCCCTAAGCGGAAGCGGCAGAAGCCGCGTCGGTTCGAAGACTACGTGATGTAGAACTCTTGTTTATTACTGTTAGTGAACATTATTGTTCTGTGAAAAGGTCCAATGCATCCAAATCAATATTGTACTGAGTTGTGCACATTTTTTTCAGTGCATTTTCAGGACTTTCATTGTACATTTTTCAGTGCATTTTCAGGACTCATAATGTGTGAGTTCGGTGTACCATGCTCTAAATTTTCATGTGTTCTAACGTACATACCTTGTATAATACGTTAGTACTGATTATGTATAAATATAAGCAGTGTATAGGTGAACTTCATTCGAGGAGGGCATGATTGTTGTGTTCTGGGTTGTCGGTTTCTGTTTCGGAATGACATGTGAGGATGCCAGGGGCGCCGCTCTGGCATCCAGGATTTCAAGGCGACTGTAAAATAAAAGGAGTGTGCGCTGGGTAAGCGTGGAGTGCGGTTGTTGTTCTTCTCTTCGGCGTTTCGCGCCAACCCACATGTTCGGGCTGGTCGGCGTCCCCGCCGGCCGCGTTCAACTCCGTCGGCCGTCTTCTTCTTCTGCTTCGTCGGGACCAGCCAGTCCCCAACACAGCAGTTACGCCCAACGAGTATAACGTAGCAACCCTTTCTTCTCAGATAGTGCTCAATGTACATTCCAATGGCTGCTAATGGCGAATGAGAGACAGGAGAATTCGGCTTTTAGTTAACGAATCCACTGCGAATTTTTTTATTGTTCGACAACGCACAGGAGAAATCTCCCACCGGTACCACTTTGCAGGTCAAAGCGTAAGACATGTTACGTACTACGAGGAGGAACGAACGGATGTCACTTTAAGGAGCTTCGCCCCTAAAAGTGTGAATTGTCACTGTTATGTAACGCGCTGTGTTTCATGCCAGGTACACAAAACTGTGAAGGCGTGTAGCGTTCTTCTCCAACAAGCAAAACATCTCGATGTTTATTATTA